TGTATTAATCTAGAATTTCCTGAATCACTCTACCACGTCCAAATCCTCCCTCTTGATGTTGTGCCTCTCGATGCGCTGTAGGAAGTTCTCCACAACCGAGTCGTCAAACCCGTTGACGTCATCTACCTGAAATGGCACGTTAGTCATCGCCTAAAAAGCGGATTTCGCTATTTTCAGGCTACAGTAGTCGCCGACTGCCTAGAGCAGATTATAGCCCACGCGGGGAAGGGGGATAAGCTGCCGATCCAGGGCGTGGGCAAAGCGGCTTACCGTCGAGGCTGGCTTTGTAGGATAAGGCGGCTATATTTAGTAACGTTATAGTTTTGATATTTCGGTACTGGTGCGTTAGCGGGGGGAGGGTAATCCTATATATAACTTCCTCAATTTAGTCTGATCTCCACTGTAAAAAATAAAATATTTTTATAGTGTTTTCGAAAGCTCCCGATACTGAAAAGAATACAGACTAAATTTAAACAGAACTGCACCAAACTAAATATCACCACAATAAAAAGTTGTAGTTGTTTTTAAAAGTTATAAAAACGTTTGTAAAAATTCAAAAAAACAGGTTTTTGCCATGTTCCATACATTTTTACCAGAAAGTATTAAAAAAGATTTTTACGGATTAAGGCTAAAGGCCCTAAAACTTACAATAATCGCATTCGCATAGTGGTCCTTGACTCGCTGCAACATCTCGCCGTCGGCCCCAATCCATGGAGAAGTATCCTTGGGCCCGGATTGGATCCACGGCAGAATATAGGCCCATTCGGCGTTGTTCATTCCTTAGACGTGAGATAAACTATGGTGTTTCAAAGCTACCAAGCGTGTAGGTGGCCTGCATAAATTCCTTGGACAGCTCTCGAGTCGACGAGAAGAGGCAAATCACCACTAAAGGTTTTTAGATCTCAAAAGCTTCCAGTAACGCTACCCCTTGCGCTGTTTGCCAACTCTTCCAGCAACCCGGAGCCTATCATCTGATTCGCGTCGCCATTCTCGTCAAAAAGCACCTAAAAACTCGGCGATTGTGAGTTACTATTAAGGGGAGGGGGCAGAATTTGGCTTAACACCTATATTTTTTAAGTTGTTTTGAAACAATTACCGCTGGAAGAGTAAAGGACTTTCAGACAGCGTACCTTCTTGACAACGCTGACGCCGTGCCGGTGCAGCACGTCCTCAAAAACCGCCACCCGTTCGTAGGCCATCGATCCGGTGTTCGACGCGATTGCTATCTATAGGCTTCACGTCAGTTGCGTGCGCACTTCCAAACCCTTGTCCAATTGTAATGGCGCAGCAGGGCGGCTGTCGCTTCCGAAATAGCTTCTGTATTTTTGCTGGAGATCCGGGCCAACGTCTTGTAGATGGCTCTGGAACCCAGCTCTCTCGTTTCATTCGGTTCCTTCGTTATACTTACTTATCAGACATTCCGCTTGACGTCGATCCGTAAGAAATCAGAGGTATATTCCAAAACGTAGCCATCTTGGCCACCGATTCGAGTTCTGAAATTACCGATAAAATCTCTATTAACTGGCTAAAAAAGCATAAGGTTTTGCCACCCACCTGTCGCACAATAAGGCCCAATAAAGGCTCGCGCCTTCTGCACGTGGAACATCTCCGCCGCCACGGCAACGCCTTCATACGCTTCAGAACACGTGGCACGCGAGACGAATCTGATTGTGAGTAAAAAAATTATCTACAACATCTTGACAACCACTTACTCAAACGCTATATCATCGCCCAGAATTCCCTCGTCGATCAGCTGCTCCCGAGCCACTTCAACGATTTTGTCGTCGTTCGGCATCACTCCAACAGCACCCAAGTGCGCGATTTTAATGACAATCCTGAAAAGATATCTAAAGATCTCTAAGTTTCCCACCTTCCGTCCGAATTCAGCTCCATTTTCACGTTAGGGTCGAAGGTGGCGTAGTTGGTGGAATTTCCGGCTTCATCCCGGGCCAACCGTGTAGCGCTGAGGGGCAAAATTAGTAGATTTTGAAGATAGTCAAGCTGTTTCAAACATTCTTCTAACCCCTTCGCTACCTATGCCTTACAAAATTCGCGTTAAATTCGAATACTTTCTTTCAGCACCCTAAAGCGGAAATAAAACTAGTATTACTTTTGTTCAGCTGATGCAGCTTCCAGCACCCCTCCAGCATGACCGCGCTCCACAAACACAAGGAGATCGAACACCAGAAGGAAGAGCATCATCATCCAATTACCTACATATGTTATACTATGTTATACTTTTATGATTAGGAACTTGGAGTTAAAGTGGCCCTCAAACACCAAATTTCAGTTAACGAAATGTTATGTGCACTCGAAGAAACGGAGCGAAACCACGTCCAAACAACATTCAGAGACATCGTGGCGCCGAGGAACCACATGGCCGCGGGTAAATCCGAGCTCCGCCAAATCCTGGTTATAACGGTACTGCGGGCCCCGGGATAAGATGCGCGCCCTGCCATCTCCCTAATTGCGTGAGCCCACGGCCCCAAGAATCCAGGATAAGCCGGCTGATCAGCGACGGCACAAGACGAAAATATGCGGCGTCGACGCATGTCGGTAAGACGCCGTGCTGAGAAAGTGCTTCTAGAAACGCCGACCAGTCAGCGGCAGGCTGTTTTTTGAAATATGAGTAGAAGTCTACGGTATGAATCCTGGTCTGACGGATCAGAGGCCAAGTTACGCAAATGCCGGGACGGCATTTGGGCACGGAAAAAATTGGCCCTGGATGGATTTTCGCGAGCCATCGTGGGATTGCGTAATAGAATTGAAAAGGGCAGTGATACAATTCCGCAAACCCTGCAATCGGCCTAGGCACCAGTATCTCGTCAATTTTGTTTGTTTCTCCATCAATTGCGTTAAAATCTCCTGAGTGATCGTGTTATCGAGGAATTACGAGTCGTTTTATACAATATTATATCGAAAGTTCAACGTTGAATAAATCGGAAACCGTAAATAAGGTGAGACCGTCGATCATCCGGAGCATCCGCGGCAGCCGCAATGTACACACTCGACGACACGCTCCTAAATGCACGTTTAGATGCAGAAGATAAATTTCTTACCGCATCCAGCTTCGACTTTGGTACCCGGCAAATGCAATTCGTTCCGTAGTTTGTGTCACGCGCTTGGATACACCTGAAAAAAGCCAATAAAAAATTCAATCGAAAATACCAACCTCAAACAACACAGATTCTCGTAGCCCTGCTTTTTCCATTTGGCTATCAGCTGGGCATCGACGATTTTCGCATCTAGGCAGAACTGGTAGAGCTGCTTGCTGATAGCCTCGCGCTTGTAGTAAAGGTCGTAGATGTAGCGACTTCGCTGGTGATGTATCTGGAAACAAAAGCTTATATCCCTGTAGCAAGTATCTAATCGTTTAGCCAAAAACAGGCTGCAAACATTAAAATAACATAAACAATAAAAATTACCCGCAGAATCGGCCACAAAGTCTCTGTTTTTCGCTTGCCCTCGTGCGGATCTGTCTCGGCTTCGCGCATCTTGCCTTCGAACTCCTGGAACATAATGATTAGTGGAAAAACAAATTTTTAAAAGATCATAATTATTAATTCCCACCTCAAGCGTGGGTTCAATGAGCTCCCAGCCCTCCGGCGGCGGCTTTCGCATGCGGCGGATCTTTGTGGCAAGTGACATTCCTGAAAGTTCAAGTGTATATAAGTGTAAGATCAAATAAACTATCATTTCATATGAAACAAGTCGAAAACAGGGTACAGAAATTTATTACAACAAGCGTTTCGAATCAGCTTTTGAACGCCAGAGGCGATGACGAAATGCTCCTATCAACACAAAGAAAGTGTGGGTGAACCGCGATTTGAACAAAAAAAATTTCCGGCTAAATTCTAAAATCTCAAAAGTTTTATTTACTTTTATTTTCTTGCTGTTGGATAGTTTTCTTACATGCTATTTTATGAGTCTTCCCCCTGTTTGCGCTTCCTCGAGCTCCCGGCCCTGGCGTTTGCCCCTTCATTTTCCTAAAACCGGCGCCTTCTTTTCAGCCCGGATTTTCTGGTGACATATGGCCAATGGATTCCGATGACGATATCCCTACGCTCCCCGAAGACACGCTTCAATTAATCGCGCAATTCCGGCAAGAACAAAAGAGACAGGAAGAAGCTGAGCAGACTGGTGCTGGCGAGATTTCTGAGAATTGGCAGGTATAGTTGCGTCTTACACGCCTAAACACTAGTTACAGTTATCACAATTCTGGTATACACCCGAAACTGCTCGAGCACTGTGCCAAGAAGCCACGAAGGCACTCCTCGAAGCGCGCGGCGGGGGAAATGTGGCCGTGATCTCGGCCCCGACTTTGTTACAATACTTTGGGGACGTTGAGGTAATTCTTCGCCGAATCACTAATAGCCACGCTTAGGCTGTCAAGGAGAAGAAAATAAATTTGCGGCTATTCGAGTACGACGACCGCTTCCGGATAAAATATCCGGACGAATATATCAACTTTGATTATCGCTCGCCTCTACTTCTACCTGAGGACCTACGTAATACTTTTGATTTAGGTGAGCCGTTTTGCAGGGCTAAATATTTTTTAGTAATCGCCGATCCGCCGTTTTTATCTGACGAATGCCTGGTGAAGACTTGTCAGTCAGTTCGCTTGCTCGGAAAACAGGATGTCAAGATTATCTTTTGTACGGGTGCAGTCATGGCGGAATTGGTAACAACTTGAAGCAATTGACTTTAATAACATTTAGATCGAACGGCTTCTGAACTGCCGACCGATCGCCTTCCATCCTCAACACGCCAATAACTTAAGCAATGATTTTAGATGTTTTACCAACTATTCCCCGGTGCATTTGCCCTCATAGTGATGGGCTGATTGTTTGTTTTTGTTGTGCTAGATTGTTGTACTTTTTAATTGATAAAAATCTTGAAATTAGGTCGATATGCTGTTGAAACGGTTTATGAACCCGGAATTTCTGTCACCTTGCAACCGGCTAGCATAATTTTAGGTTCCCTCCATTCTGTGTCCCTTTTCGCGGAATGTTGGTTGCGTCGCGTAGCCTATCTGGGCGCCGCGTTTTGTGCGGGCGCTTCCTATGCTTTGCAGATTTACAAACATTGCCGAAGTAATGCTAAAATATCAGACCCTGTCGTTTTTCTCGCAAATTTCAATCCCTGAGCTTCATCTATGCAAGATATTCTTTTTGATAGGCTCTTTTGTATACTTGCGCTTCTCTTTTCGCATTTTTTCGCTAGTTGCTTATTTTTATTTAGTTTCTTTTCCAGGGTACTCCTGAGAGATGTCTCTGCCAGTACTTCTCCGCGGAGCCATGTCGGCGGCAAGCAAGGGCGTCCGTGCGCTCTCGACATCGACAACGATGCGCAGCCACGACGACATCATGGAGAAGTGGCCCGCTGACAAGTTCGACCGTCATTTCATCGATTACTTCAACCGGCCGGAGATCGATGGCTGGGAGGTCCGCAAGGCGTTGACGGAATTGCACGATTTTGACGTCATCCCCGACCCGAAGATTGTCGAGGCCGCTCTTCGCGCGTGCCGCCGCGTCAACGATTATGCCTTGTCCGTGAGGTTCTTGGAGGCCATCAAGATCAAATGCGGCAGCAAGAAGAATCGTGAATTGGTCTACGGCTACATCATCAAGGAGGTCAAGCCCGTTCTTGACGAGCTCGGCATCTCGACCCCGGAGGATCTCGGATATGACAAGCCCGAATTCTTCATTCCCGAGCCCGAGAAGTGGTGGGAGAAGAAGTGGTACGCCGAGTACGGATTCGACAAGAAGCCCGGATTCCAATACTAATGCCCTTGCCTTAGGCGTGTACTGTTGTCTAATAGCTCATTATAGATTACGCCATCTGAACTTCCATTTTATGTTAGGCTCTTTCTCTCGTTTTCCCCGATTTTACTCTTGTTTGTGAGCTATTATATGTGAATACCAAATAAATTTTAGCCCGTCATGACAGGCCGTGGGCGAGGCAGAGGCATTGTGAAAGTACGGGCACCAAACTTGGCAGCAGCAAGACGAGAAACAGCGGCGCCGGTCGTACCAAAGCAAGAAACGTTTGTAGACTACTTGGCGTGTACCTTTTTCTAGCCCGAAAACACGTGGCCGGGGGCGAGGGGGACGAGGCCGTGGTGCTGAAAGAGGTGCACACCGCGGAAATTCGAATATTATCCAAACGGCTGGTATCTTCTCGGATGGCCTCGCTGAACTTGAAAAGAAGAATAGACCAGTCGAACGAGGTAAAAACATCTGCATTATCCCTAGTTGATTTTAGACTTGTTCGTGAAGGCTGAACGGCCTGTTCGTGCTAAAGAGAAGGAGAACGGTGGCGAAGAGGTTTCGAAAACGTCGGCATCGGAAAGGTGGGCACATTTTTTGGCCAGAGTGTTCTCTAGTTATGACCAGTACTGGACGATCGATCAAAAAGAGGAAGATGCCGAATATAGCGAACTGATCGGCCCTGGAGTAAGCACAATTGCGTTTTGATTTTACGTATGCTTCAGTTACTTTCTGACTACAAGAAGGGCACCTTGCCGCCAGTCGTCTTACCACACCATGATGAACATCAGGTAAGATCTTCGTCAAGGCTTTATTGATTTTTTCAGTTTTTACAAATGCTGCCATCTAAAGTCAAACGGGAATTCGAGATCAGTGAAGCAAATAATGAAGCATCGGAAAAGGATCAAGGCGCCGATCGACATGAACAGTAAACCATTTTTGCTTTTATTTACGGTCTCAGATTGCAACATCGCCACGATGTATCCCAATGTCACGATGATGACGAGACAGATACGACGTTCGCCTTCAGTCAACTGGCATCAAAAACATTCAAGCGGATGCTCGACGGTAATTTTCCGAGACAAAATTATAAGAGCGTTTAGAGGGCAATAAGGAACTTATCCTGTTGCAACTCCCAACGATTCTGGGAACCCTAGTGAAGGACCTTCCGGTCAAAGAAGAAGCCGTTGTGAAGCAAGTAAGTTATTGTGGTCCTTCGATATTACGAGATTTTCCGTCTAATTTTTGCTTTGTTCTAGGAGCATGAGCAAGCGGCCGAACAACCCTCGAGCGTATCGACAGAAATGGCCTCGCCCGAACAAACTGCATTGCCAAGGGTATTTAGGACCTTTTGTTCACATGGTTGTTTAGGGAAAACTAATCGGCTGCTTGGTGATAAAGAAGGATGGGCAAACCTTTATGGAAGTCGGCGCGGAGAAGATTGATATCACCGCGACCTTTTCTGGAACCACCGGCGAGGTATTATTCACATGTTTTGTTGAACTGTGGTTTAGGCAATTGTCGGAATCGAATTAAAGGACCCGATACCCCCCAGAAACTCGGACGATTTCTTCGGTTATCCTTCCACAATTGATGCGCAGGCGACGACGAATGCTCTGTACTTTTTCGGTAACGATTTTCTGGTTAGCTTATGTATTGTTTAGGGAATGTCGATAACCATATGACGGCCAGTGTTGACTGGCAGAATATTAGAGACACCCGATCCACTGCTAAACATGATGAAGCGGAAGCACATCATGCCTCTAGCGGTTGGTCATCAATACCTTTTTGATACAACGATTTTAGGGGTTGGTCCATTAGAAGACTATCGACGAAAATTCAAGGAACTGGGAGAACAGGGCAGGCAGACCGCAGAATCGTTGAAGAGCGCCCTGGCGCGGGTACGGGAGAAGAGCCATAAATAAAGCCTGTTGTCATCGCCCAGTTGGAAGTTAGGCTCTTTTATTTGTTGGTGCTCCCGCTGCTTCTCATAACTCTCTTGACCCCATATTCCCGGTTTCGCATGTGATGCTAGACCTGCGTAAGCTATTCCATTTTGGTAAAACTAGGAAAGTTTTGGGTTCGTAAATCCTTACATTCGACTTCTCCTTACTCTCCACCATAATGGCTCATACACAGATCGTTGCTAATATCGGGTTCCTAATTGTTGATTTGTTGATTTGCTTTGTTAATGTGTTGTTGTGATTCCTCGCGAACGGGTCATTTGTTGCACCTGCATTGTTAGTAAATCTATCCTATCACCGTTTTCGCGCACCCAATTACCCATTACGCTCTTTGTAAAATGACATTTTATCCGGCATCGCATCGAAAGAGCAACACGGAGATTTTGGAGACTGAAAGGTGGATGTGCTCGACGCAAGAAAGATGACTGCCGAAGTTGCGGCCCACGACGCAGTTCCAGTTGTGGCCGATAGATGGAATTGGTAAGGACGTTGGCCAGACCTCGCTTACCATATTTCGCCTCGAACTGCGTCTTCATCCAGGTGGCGATTTCGTTTTCAATACCAATATCTTTGTCCAGGGCGTCACCAAGTAACTGGAAACGAATGCGAATGAAGAGGAAATCCAGTAGCAACTCGTACCTGCATGGCTCGGGTGTTCATCTCGTCTTCGGGCAAGGAAGATGACTTCATCTCCACCTAAAAGCCCATTGATATAAAGGCTCTACGTTCGGAAAGGTTTCTTGAACTATTTAGATGACAGGATGTAAACCTGAGAGGCCCGTAGTGCTTTGGACGCTGGCTCCCTCCAACGTCGGGACTCTCTCCTTAATTAAAAAGTATTTGTTTATAGGCAATTTAGATCAATAGAAGTAGACATACCTCCGTGCGCTGCTCTTCCTTCTCCAGCCAGAAAATGGGAGAGCTGCGAAACTGACTTTTCGACCCGACATCGGCAGCCGGTGTGCTGGAGCGTTTGTGAATAGGAAAGTTTGATGAATGAATAAAGGGCGCAACAGGAACAAGGTAAGGCCGACGGGGCTGCGTGTTGGGTCAACAACTTGTATCTAGCCCCCGAAAGCAACCCAGCCATCACCCATCAGACTCGTTGAAATGTGTTTTTCCAGCATCTAATGCCCCAGGGGTCATGGTGTCAGCTGGCCACCGGGATTGGGCCCTTTTTCGCATGGCCATTTGGAACTTCCTTTTGCCCCGTCGGGTCCCCGCCCACAGCTGTTTCAAATTTAGGGCACGATGACATGGTGCGGTGCAGGGATAAATTTAGCAGCTGCCCGCCCAGGTAAAAGCGACCATGATTCAGGAAAGTCGCAACTCACCGCCTGGATTAGCATTTTATACGTTTAGCATGAACGCGAAGCCACTAAATCCACATTAGCATCGGCCCGAAAGCGGAACCAACCGCTAATTAGCGTGGCATTACTGGGCTTAAACAACGGATCGGTTTTATTATTCATCATTATTCGAACTAATTCACTTCACCCTACTAACCTACCCTGACAACAATGGACATTGTAAGTGCCATAATCTTTCTTCAAACAACATTCAAACATAGGACACTAATTTACTTTTGGCCGAGAAGGATGCGGCCTACCTAACCGTCCGCAGGCGTCGCCTGGAGCTCGAGGAGGCCAATAAGGATTACGAGCGTGAGGCAGGGCTTGCAAAACTTCAGGACTGACCGAACCTGCCTGGATATTCGAAAACGCAATAATTTTCAGGAAGCCCTTCTTCACTTGCTGGAGAAGCGCCAGTTCGCCGTCGCCGCAGTCGATCAAGAAGCACTCCTGAACGCTTGGAACATTGGCAATGCGGAGAGGATGGCCGCTCGGAAGCGCTTCACGCCCGCGCCGGAGCCTACTATCGAGGTTTCTTCGCGCTGAATTTGGGCAAAACAGCATTTTGCACTTTTTACTGTCATGAGAAATCAAACCTTTCGCTGTTCAATTTCCTGTGCTAAAGTGGAAAAACGCATATTGTTGCCCGGGCGGGACCAGGGTTGAAAAGCCGCGAAGCGTTTTCTCAGCCCTGATATGGATCGTCAGCATGCTGTGGAATAATTAGACTTTCCAGGCGTACAACGTGGTCGGCCAACCGAGATCTGGTTCTTACCCCCGTAGCATCCACGAGGACAGCGCCGAGGCGCTTTTTGAAGCAGATTCCCGTCTAGCCTATGGTCTCGAGGCGCTGAACAACGTATGTCCATTTGGCCTTTTACGCTATGTCCTCCATGGTAATGAAACAATCTCAATTTATGCAGTTTTTAATAGCTCCCAATAACTAAATTTTGTTCACTAAAAGGGCAAAAAAAAATTTCGATTGACAAAATGCATATTTTGGCCAAATCCCAAAAATTCGGAAATTCAAAATTTTTTTTATGGAAAAAAGAGCAGTTGCACCGTGTTTTTAGCTGAACAAGGGCGCTTGGGAGGACCGATTGCCCGAGCTGCGAACAAAAATCGTCCAAGCTGAGAAGAAGCTTGCCGTCGCGCAGGCGGCCTACGATGACATGGTGAATATTTTGCGCTTCGCTGGACTCTCCAGCGCTACATTATAATAGACCGATATTTCAGGCAGCCCGAACGCGTGCAGCTGGGAGCTACTTCAACAACATCAACAAGGAGCTCGGGCGTCAGTGCGCCGAAGCCGACTATGCCCTGCCACCGCCTCAAGAATATGGCCCGGTAAATAGTTCTAGAAGTTGCCCTAGCTTCGCTTCAGATGCCGCCCCTCATCCACTGGCTGAACGGGCAATACATCGGATACATCGAAGGCATTGCCAGTCTGGGCCACCACGCGCGCATCGAGGCTTCGGAAGCCGACACCTATTCCGACAACGACTACAGCCTCGACTCATCCGACTTGGATAGGACGACCGGAGCAAGATTCCGGCACCAAGGTAAGCAAAACACTTTCGACGATGATCGATTGGATTGCAGGTGCCGGGGGCGTTTAGCGGCGAGCACCGCGAGGGCGTCGACACCAACGACTTCCCGCGCCCTGGCAACACTGAGGCTCACGTCTACGCCATTCTGGTCGACGACGCCACCAGCCAGAGCACCAGTAATGAGAAGGTAGAACATTGGATTACCACCGTATTCCATTCTTGGCAGAATCAAGGGCGATGACCCCCAGTAGCGAGAAATTCGGGATCAAAATGTATGGAAAAATCGCGGGGATTACCAAGTTACAGGCCAACCCATTCGACGGCGGAGCGGCGAGCAGCGACGGCAAATCGGCGGAGACCATGCACGACGAGCACGATGCTGCAGTTGGGCGGAATGGTGATTAAGGATTTGTTGGAAAAAGCCCTTAATTGATTCAATCTTTTACTGAATAAATAGTATTATATTATCGTTGAATTGGAGCAATATCAATTCTGCGCAGCATGGGAGATTTTTGGAGCGAATGATTGCGGTGCGCGCTGCAAAGACAGGCTGTCTGAAAACTAGCCCCTCTACGGCCCGGCGAAGTGCCGAATTTTCACGGTTGATGCATCGATCGGAAGATATTGAAACGGCGAGAAGACAGGCGCTTTTCGTTTTCCATCTGAAGGGATTCAATTCTAGTGTTGATGACCGAAAACAGTGAAAAAGGCCGTTTTATGCGACACTCGCGTGCTAATTGACGGTTTCACGCGGCAGAATAGCCCTTGCGTTTACTAAGAAAACGCTTTTCGACAAGAAAATCATCAACAATGTTAGTGAAAGAAGCGCGCTGTTTTCGCACGCTGCCAAGGGCATTCTCGAGATCAAGAAAATGACAAAAAAGGCACGCATAGGAAAGTGTACGAGACGCGCCTATGAATGCTCAACCGCCACGGACGGTGTAATTCGTCTTTTCCTAACAGGAAACCTCACCTTTGCCATAAATTTCGATTTACCTCGAAAGCTTCATACGAAAATTGAAAACCCGACTACATTCAGATGTTCTACGAAAAATTGCGCGTCCTTTGAGGCCCGGATTTTGTATATCCATTCTGACGCATTTTGCCAATACGGTTTGAAGTTATTCATCAAAAATTTTTTTGCCATCACTTAGGAACGCCGCGTACTTTGAAGCGCTTAGGCCAGCCTTAAAAAGTTTTAAAAACTGGCCGAGCCCAGTAAAACAAAAAAAGATAAATTAATTTCTTAAAAACCCTAATAACTTTCAGAAAACGCCCAAACGGGGCAAGGGCCGTCCGTCGTCACTTCAGGACGGCTATTGCGTCAACTGCCCGCCGTCGAAGGGGCTGCAGCCAGTGAGGAACATCTACACGCACCCACTGTGCCCGCCGTGCGGTACCCTCTATATGTTGGTTGATTAACATTTGGCACACGCGTCGTCGTGGGTCCACGGTAAATCAAGGCGGCACTTACGGACACACAAATTGAAACTTTTGCAGCAATGCATCCACTCGCGCTCTCGATAAGAAGGCCTGCAACGGTACCTGGTGCACCAAAGCCAGTGCGTTTCGTGTAAAATATCCGCCACAAGCTATCTTTAGAGCCCTGCGCCATCTGCAGCTTCGAGAAGAAGTGGGCGCCCCTAGGCTTCCGCCCCTACACCAACACCACCAAAAAGCCCACTGAACTGATAATTGTACATTCTGAATAAATATATTTTATGATTTGAGATTTGGATCTTTGCATTTAAGAGATTTGATTTTAATTTAGGAGATCCTACTATATATAAAAAAATAGTTCCTGTGTGTGTGTGTGTGGGGGGGGTGTGTGTGTGTGTGTGTGTGTGTGTGTGGTGTGTGTGTGTGTGTGTGTGTGTGTGTGTGTGTGTGTGTGTGTGTGTGTGTGTGTGTGTCGATTTGCATGCAACTTCCGTCACCGTGTCCGGAGGATATCTCCAGAGGGGAAAGGTTTTAGGCTACGTATGATACGTCATTAGGTGCGCAATGGCCCCAAGATGACTGCACGTATATCAGATTTTACAAATTACGCTATTTTCGGCATTAAAATTGAGTTTTTGTTGAAAAATCCGACAGCCTTCTTTGTTAGGGAAAAATTAGCATCCGCCGGAAGTGGCGGCAGCCTATATATAACGCGAGAGAGTGGAATTTTTCATTTTTCTCATCGGAATTCGAGAGATGTATGCAGAAGATGATGGGGTTAGCCGGGGCCAGGGTTGAAAAGTCGCGAAGCGACTTTTCAACCCTGGTTTTATTTTAATTTAGGTGATTTGATTTTAATTTAGGAGATCCGATTTTGATTTAGGAGATTCGATTTTAATTTAAGGTTTAGGCATTTTAATTTAACGTTTTCTATTTTAATTTAAGGTTTAGGCATTTTAATTTAACGTTTTCGATTTTAATTTAAGGTTTAGGCATTTTAATTTAACGTTTTCGATTTTAATTTAAGGTTTAGGCATTTTAATTTAACGTTTTCGATTTTAATTTAAGGTTTAGGCATTTTAATTTAACGTTTTCGATTTTAATTTAAGGTTTAGGCATTTTAATTTAACGTTTTCGATTTTAATTTAGGAGATTCGATTTTAATTTAGGAGATTCGATTTTAATTTAGGGGATTCGATTTTAATTTAGGAGATTCGATTTTAATTTAGGAGATTCGATTTTAATTTAGGAGATTCGATTTTAATTTAGGAGATTCGATTTTAATTTAGGAGATTCGGATTTTAATTTAGGACGTTTTCGATTTTAATTTAAGGTTTAGGCATTTTAATTTAACGTTTTCGATTTTAATTTAAGGTTTAGGCATTTTAATTTAACGTTTTCGATTTTAATTTAAGGTTTAGGCATTTTAATTTAACGTTTTCGATTTTAATTTAAGGTTTAGGCATTTTAATTTAACGTTTTCGATTTTAATTTAGGAGCATTTTTAATTTAGGTTTAGGCATTTTAATTTAACGTTTTGGATTTTAATTTAAGGTTTAGGCATTTTAATTTAACGTTTTCGATTTTAATTTAAGGTTTAGGCATTTTAATTTAACGTTTTCGATTTTAATTTAAGGTTTAGGCATTTTAATTTAACGTTTTCGATTTTAATTTAAGAGATTTGATTTTAATTTAGAGATTTTCGATTTTAATTTAGGAGATTCGATTTTAATTTAGGAGATTCGATTTTAATTTAGGAGATTCGATTTTAATTTAGGAGATTCGATTTTAATTTAGGAGATTCGATTTTAATTTAGGAGATTCGATTTTAATTTAGGAGATTCGATTTTAATTTAGGAGATTCGATTTTAATTTAGGAGATTCGATTTTAATTTAAGGTTTAGGCATTTTAATTTAACGTTTTCGATTTTAATTTAAGGTTTAGGCATTTTAATTTAACGTTTTCGATTTTAATTTAAGGTTTAGGCATTTTAATTTAACGTTTTCGATTTTAATTTAAGGTTTAGGCATTTTAATTTAACGTTTTCGATTTTAATTTAAGGTTTAGGCATTTTAATTTAACGTTTTCGATTTTAATTTAAGGTTTAGGCATTTTAATTTAACGTTTTCGATTTTAATTTAGGAGATTTGATTTTAATTTAGGAGATTCGATTTTAATTTAGGAGATTCGATTTTAATTTAGGGGTTTCGATTTTAATTTAGGAGATTCGATTTTAATTTAGGAGATTCGATTTTAATTTAGGAGATTTGATTTTAATTTAGGAGATTCGATTTTAATTTAAGGTTTAGGCATTTTAATTTAACGTTTTCGATTTTAATTTAAGGTTTAGGCATTTTAATTTAACGTTTTCGATTTTAATTTAAGGTTTAGGCATTTTAATTTAACGTTTTCGATTTTAATTTAAGGTTTAGGCATTTTAATTTAACGTTTTCGATTTTAATTTAAGGTTTAGGCATTTTAATTTAACGTTTTCGATTTTAATTTAAGGTTTAGGCATTTTAATTTAACGTTTTCGATTTTAATTTAGGAGATTCGATTTTAATTTAGGAGATTCGATTTTAATTTAGGAGATTCGATTTTAATTTAGGAGATTCGATTTTAATTTAGGAGATTCGATTTTAATTTAGGAGATTCGATTTTAATTTAGGAGATTCGATTTTAATTTAGGAGATTCGATTTTAATTTAGGAGATTTGATTTTAATTTAGGAGATTTGATTTTAATTTAGGAGATTCGATTTTAATTTAGGAGATTCGATTTTAATTTAGGAGATTCGATTTTAATTTAAGGTTTAGGCATTTTAATTTAACGTTTTCGATTTTAATTTAGGAGATTTGATTTTAATTTAGGAGATTTCGATTTTAATTTAGGAGATTCGATTTTAATTTAGCGTTTTCGATTTTAATTTAGGAGATTCGATTTTAATTTAGGAGATTCGATTTTAATTTAGGAGATTCGATTTTAATTTAGGAGATTCGATTTTAATTTAGGAGATTCGATTTTAATTTAGTTACATTTAATTTTTCGTTTTCTATTTTAATTTAGGGTTTAGGCATTTTAATTTAACGTTTTCGATTTTAATTTAAGGTTTAGGCATTTTAATTTAACGTTTTCGATTTTAATTTAAGGTTTAGGCATTTTAATTTAACGTTTTCGATTTTAATTTAAGGTTTAGGCATTTTAATTTAACGTTTTCGATTTTAATTTAAGGTTTAGGCATTTTAATTTAACGTTTTCGATTTTAATTTAGGAGATTCGATTTTAATTTAGGAGATTCGATTTTAATTTAGGAGATTCGATTTTAATTTAGGAGATTCGATTTTAATTTAGGAGATTCGATTTTTAATTTAGAGATTCGATTTTAATTTAGGAGATTCGATTTTAATTTAGGGAGATTCGATTTTAATTTAGGAGATTCGATTTTAATTTAGGAGATTCGATTTTAATTTAGGAGATTCGATTTTAATTTAGGAGATTCGATTTTAATTTAGGAGATTTGGCATTTTAATTTAGGGGATTCTATTTTAATTTAGAGGTTTGGATTTTAATTTAGATATTCGATTTTAATTTAGGAGATTTAGGATTTTAATTTAGGAGATTCGATTTTAATTTAAGGTTTGGATTTTAATTTAGAGATTCGATTTTAATTTAGGAGATTCGATTTTAATTTAGGAGATTCGATTTTAATTTAGGAGATTCGATTTTAATTTAGGAGATTCGATTTTAATTTAGGAGACTCGATTTTAATTTAAGGCTGAGGCATTTTAATTTAACGTTTTCGATTTTAATTTAGAGGTTTAGGCATTTTAATTTAGGCGATTTCGATTTTAATTTAGGAGGATTTCGATTTTAATTTAGAGGTTTAGGCATTTTAATTTGACGTTTTCGATTTTAATGTAGGAGATTTGATTTTAATTTAGGAGATTCGATTTTAATTTAGGAGATTCGATTTTAATTTAGGAGATTCGATTTTAATTTAGGAGATTCGATTTTAATTTAGGAGATTTGATTTTAATTTAGGAGATTCGATTTTTAATTTAGGAGATTTGATTTTAATTTAGGAGATTTGATTTTAATTTAGGAGATTTCGATTTTAATTTAGAGATTGTGATTTTAATTTAGGGGATTCGATTTTAATTTAGGAGATTCGATTTTAATTTAGGAGATTCGATTTTAATTTAGGAGATTCGGATTTTAATTTAGGAGATTCGATTTTAATTTAGGAGATTCGATTTTAATTTAGGAGATTCGATTTTAATTTAGGAGATTCGTTTAATTTAGGAGATTCGATTTTAATTTGGACGATTTCGATTTTAATTTAGGAGATTTGATTTTAATTTAGGAGATTCGATTTTAATTTAGGAGATTCGATTTTAATTTAGGAGATTCGATTTTAATTTAGGAGATTCGATTTTAATTTAGGAGATTCGATTTTAATTTAGGAGATTTGATTTTAATTTAGGAGATTCGATTTTAATTTAGGAGATTCGATTTTAATTTAGGAGATTCGATTTTAATTTAGGAGATTTGATTTTAATTTAGGAGATTCGATTTTAATTTAGGAGATTCGATTTTAATTTAGGAGATTCGATTTTAATTTAGGAGATTCGATTTTAATTTAGGAGATTCGATTTTAATTTAGGAGATTCGATTTTAATTTAGGAGATTTGATTTTAATTTAGGAGATTCGATTTTAATTTAGGAGATTCGATTTTAATTTAGGAGATTCGATTTTAATTTAGGAGATTCGATTTTAATTTAGGAGATTCGATTTTAATTTAGGAGATTTGATTTTAATTTAGGAGATTCGATTTTAATTTAGGAGATTCGATTTTAATTTAGGAGATTCGATTTTAATTTAGGAGATTCGATTTTAATTTAGGAGATTCGATTTTAATTTAGAGATTCGATTTTAATTTAGGAGATTCGATTTTAATTTAGGAGATTCGATTTTAATTTAGGAGATTTGATTTTAATTTAGGAGATTCGATTTTAATTTAGGAGATTCGATTTTAATTTAGGAGATTCGATTTTAATTTAGGAGATTCGATTTTAATTTAGGAGATTCGATTTTAATTTAGGAGATTTGATTTTAATTTAGGAGATTCGATTTTAATTTAGGAGATTCGATTTTAATTTAGGAGATTTGATTTTAATTTAGGAGATTCGATTTTAATTTAGGAGATTCGATTTTAATTTAGGAGATTTGATTTTAATTTAGGAGATTCGATTTTAATTTAGGAGATTC